GGTGGCTTTGTGCCTGTGGTTTGGAAAGGCTTCCTCTTCTGCTTGCTTTCAGAGGGATGAGGCACTAGCTTCTGAAGGTCAGACAAGTGGTGACACATTGTGGGCTCGCTCATCGCTCCTTACTTCATGCAGAGCTCGGAGGAACATGATGCAGTCAGTGCGGTCAGCCCCGGGCACGATGCGCTGGACAGAACATCTGGGTTTCCCTACAGGTGTAATCGGTGTGATGTGAGTCATTTTCTGGAAGAGTCAGAAGAGAACAAGTTTGCAGAGACCTGAATGCAGTGTTGTAATTCGTCTTTGTTGTTCAGAGATTAGGCTTCCAACGATGTCACAAGCTGTTTTGCACCAGCCTGCTCGCCCCAAGGCTCGGCTGAACTGGTTTGCTGTGCTAAGTCCTGAACAGAATCAGAATGTGTGCTTTTTCCAGTAGGTGTGTTTGAGGGTGCTCTACACAGACCTGTCCTTTGGTTGGTTTCACTCCTAGACAAGCTCTCACCATGTAGCCGGAGCTGGCCTCCAACTCACTGTGACCCTCTTGCCTCAGCCTCCTGAGTGCTGACATTACAGGCATGTGACACAGGATGAGGCTACACCTGTCCTTTTCCGTGGTTAAAAATATCTGATGGGGTAGGCATTGAGATAGTGGGGAAGAAAGGCTACTTACGGGCCTAGGAACCGGAGCTGACAGAAGGGAAGTGTGTGTGGGGAGGTCGCCCTGTGAAAGGTTCTAATTAACGAACCGCCTAAAAGCCAAAAGGCAAAATAACCAACACCCAAGGGGGGGGGGGGGCCGCAACAAGAAGGAAAATCCCCACCGAACAGCAACAGGGACCAGCAACAGCAGAGTTTTCCCGACTGGAGAGGGCTCATAGAGCCCGAGTCTGGCATGGACAACTTGTATGCTCATGCTGTGAGGCCCCCTGCAAATTCTGACTCTCAGGAAGTATTCTAGACGTCTTTTTCTTGTCTGAACACAAAAACGTACTTCTTCCAAGGCTAACGATTTCTTCAAATCAAGCATTTCATAGAGTTATTTTGTTAGCATTCACCATTTCCCATCAAAAACTGTTTTCACATCTCAAAGACTAATGGGATAAAAGGAGTTGGAGCATTAGGGACCTGAAAGTCAAGAGTTTTCGTCATTGCCAACACACGTTTTTTTCTTTTTCTTTTTTTTTTTTTTTGGCCCGTTCCGCCCACCCTGAGGGCGGGGCTGGCTGGGCTTGTGGGGCCCAGGATCAAACAGGCAGATGTCCAGCTCCTGCCTAAACTTACCTAAGCAGGCGCTTTAGACCACTGAGCTATCTCGCCCGCCCCCAACACACATTTCTGACAGCCACTTCCTGTCAGGTCAGGGTTTAGCCCCAGGAGGTTTCTCGCTCTGACTTTGGCCAGCCCGCGACCTGGGTGTGATCTCCTACTCAGAAGATCTCCCTGGCTCTTTCTACTTTTCTAACGGAGCACGATTCCAGATAATATCGTTCTTTGCTTTGCTAGTCTGGAGAGAAATTTTGCCAATCTGGGAAGACCTCTGAGGTGCAGGCTAAGCATGTTGGAAAAAAGACTTGAAATTCTTTTGCATTATCTGCATATAGAAAATTCTAACTCCAGTCATACAATTGCACATTTTAAAAATTTTACAGGCGATCTGGAGGTCACCATAGGAGGATGCAAAAATCTCTTTGGGAGAAAAACTGAGCAAGGAAAACTCAATTTAGAATGCTCTTTCTCCTTGGTGCTTGGTTGTGGGGTCCTGGGGTTGAGACCCAGGCTCCGCCCTGTTCTTTAAGCCAGATTGGTGTCTGCATTCCTACTTAATAAGCGCTGCTGTGTCTCCTCTTCCCTGAACCCGCTGGTGTGCGCAGGGTGCATGAAGGTCTCTTGCCTCACCTTTAGGGTGGATAGGTTGCCTCCTCCTTACCACCCCAGGGGGCCCCCAGACCCTCTCCTTGCCCTAATGCAGCATCAGCTCCGGACTCCTCCCCCACAAGAAGTAAATTAGTCCCTTGGAGTAGGAGTGTGTGTGTGTAGTTTTGAGCTTTTGAGTCTTCACTCTCTCCAGCCAAAAGGAAGCAGAAAGGGCCTGTGCTCTGTCTTCATTTCAGGGCTTGGTGAGGTGAGGTGGGGGGAGCCCCAGATTCCCCCAGTTCTTAGACCCCATGGCCAATGCTCAGCTCCTAGTGCCTCCTCCCCTTCAGCTCCTGTCTCTCCCAGACCCATCAAATGGGGTTCACCTTTGACATAAGGCGAGGTGGTAGACAGGAAAGCCACACTCCTAACTTTGGGTCAGAACTTAAAAGAACAGGAAAACTTCTCTGTTGGCCTCACTGGAGTCTGTGGGTGGCAAGGAGGAAGGAAACTTATAGAATGATCCCAGTGGGAGTTCAAGTCCCCAAGGAAGCTCTGGGGTGGACCTGGGCTTCTCTTCAGTCGTGCCAAAGAGTAGATAATAGGAGTTGATGTTCTGGAGCTCAGGGATCAAGAATCTCAAAGTCTCTGCTTATTACAGTGAGTGGGGTCTGACTTGGAGACTTGGGATATGGGGGTGCGGAGAATACCTAAACTCAGATGAACAAGTAGCATAACCTTTGTGAAAGGTTCCCACTCAGAGCCACCAGTTTATCGTGTTCACAGAGTCTTAGGGTTTTTGCTTTCCCCCTTTAATAGGCCGTGAAGTCAACAAACTCCCCACATGGTGGCTCCCTTTACTAAATTTGAGTGGCGAATTCACAAGAAGTCTTGGAAATTTTCAAATGTCTCTCCAGGACAGACTCTTTTCGGAATTCGCGTGGGAGGGAGGAGGATTTTAATGGGGTTCACCTTTGGCGTGAGGCGAGGTAGTAGATAGGAAAGCCACAGTAGGCACTAGCTGTGGGCGCTTTAGTAAGAAAGGCATCTCTGCTTGATGATCTGGTCCTGTTCACCGCAGGCTCTGTGTGCGAGCAGAGGCTCCCATAAACACTGCAGCAAATCCACAGGCACAGGTAGCAGAGACAAAGAGGTGCATCCCCAGGCTGCTGTGGCTGGCGGCATTACCGAAGGCAGGCACCCAAGCTAGGAGGAGGCAAGAAGTGGCAGACAGTTTGGGGTCATTCATAGAATAAGCAAAACTTTGCCTTCTTGGAGGGAGTATTTCATCTCAAAAGCAGGAGTGGCAGTGAGAATGAGAAAAGGGGCTTGGAGAAAATATTCAAAACTAATATTACTTATTTCAATATTAGACCAGAATCACAGTAACAGGAAACAGTTGACTGACATTCCTTGGTTTTGGTTTTTTTTTTTTTGTGTAGGATCCAATAATTAAAATGTGCACTAATGGTTATTGATGTGTCTATTTCCTTTTTAAAAGAATTAGAGCCAAGCTCTTTACTGGAGCACACATTTATGACTCTTTTTGAATTACTTGGGGACTTGTAAGGTTCAGGGTGGATATGGTCTTCCCCATTTCCTTTCCCTTCCCATATCATTTTCAGTTAAAATAATTTAACCGTCCCCACGGGAGGGGCTCCTATTAGAAATCCTCAGCAAAGGGACTTGTACTGGGAATTCTGCTTTTCCAGTCTGCCTACATTTCCCCAAACAGAATTAGATTTGTAAAGAAAGTGTAAAAAGCATATGTCTCACTCCCAAGTTCTTAAAATTTCAAATTTTGTGGAAAACATGAAGTCACAGTTTCAACTTCTAACATCAGCCAGAGGTACTGAAAGTGTGAAGGGGCACAAACGGGAAACCCAGAGAGCTAGACAACAGCACTAACAAGAGACATCCAGCGCTCCTTCGTGGAGTCTAACGCAAGTAATGAGCCTGTTCTCAGCACTGGGGCACTCATAGATGTTACGAGGGAGGGAGATGCCTGACAACAAGGTGATTTAGACAATGAATTGCCACATTAGCAGCACCACTGCCAAACCTTCCGATTTAGGGGCTGTGTGAAAATTAAGCCAGTGACAATTTTCAAGGCTTGCAACATCTGCTCCCAAGCAGTTCAGCACCCAGAGCCTGGACAGCTCCACAGGCCTGCCTCCTGGCACTCTTCCTCTAATCTATCCACTTGTAGCCAGACCGTCAACGACAAACTCATTAAAGATGTACTGAAAGTCTTCCAAGACTTCCCTTTAAAAACAAAACGACTTCCACATTTAACTGTCCATCTGAAAGAACATACACAAGAAATTAGGAGATCTAAATTAAATTTATTAATAGGACAGCTTGATGGTGCTTAATTCCAGAGAGCAGAGCTCTCACTGGTAGGGCTTGATTGGAAGGAGAGAGAGAGAGAGAGAGAGAGAGAGAGAGAGAGAGAGAGAGAGAGAGAAACAGTGTAGGTAGGGTTAAAAACATGACTTTTACCATCCTGGAAATTCTACAAATTCTTTACTTGTCCTTGAGAAATGGGTGAAATTGAAAACGATCAAAATAATTAGACTTCTTAAAAATTGGATTGCATGAGTGAAAAAGGTGTTTATGAGAAGTCGATGACTCCGGATCTTATCATCCTAGAGGACAGCACAGGATAGTTAATACATTCCTTGAGGGACTAGGCTGCTGACGTCTTTTTTCTGATACCCGATCATTACGTGACTGAAAAAAAAGGAAGTCGCTTCATGAATAAAAATCGGAGCGCAACAGTGCAACAAAATATTCTGTACTTAAAGGCAATAGGCAGGCAGATGTTGACGAGGAGGACACTCCTAAAATCATGTTCAGATAGATTTTTTGCTAACTGCATATATAAACACAAGCAGAAGGCCGGTCACCTCCGTAAGCTCCGGCAGCACCAGAAGCCGCATCTTCAGACGCAGTCAGAAGGATCTCAGAACAGACCCGGCCGGGCTGCTTCGCAGAGGCCGGCTGCGCTCGCTGGACCTCTCCACTCCCTTCCTCCCCTTCTCCTCTGACTTTTCATCTTCTCCTTAATCGCTCGCTTTTTTCTCCCAGTGGACTTACGGCCACTTTGCTCCCCCTCCTTTCGCTAGTCGCCTCCTCTTCTTTCTCCGTTGCTCCTCACCCCCTTCCTTCTCTCCACGTCGCGCTTCCTTCTAGTTCTGTGCGTCTACAAACTTTTGAACACAATACCAAAGCCTAAGCAAACAAGTCGTCCGGCTCCGCCTGCTGCTCCTGCTCATCCCTGCGACTCGTCTACAGACGCGGACGCCAGACGGTGATGCCTCTCGGCTTGTGATTCCAGCGCACAAACTTGAAGGAGCCTCGCTCGCCGCCCTACTTGGCAACCGATCCTTGCTTAGCAGCGGTAAGAGTTGAATACGAGGGGAAAAAATTCTCACCAGGCCAAAGGACCCCCTTGCCTGCTGCTTTCTTCCCCCCTCGGGCATCGGCATCGGGTTCGAGGTAGCTTTTCCTCGGGCCGTGTCTGGCTAGTTACTGGGCGCTGGGTGGACCCATACCTATGTTTTCTGACTACGGCAAGGAGAAGTGGCCGGGCGCGCGCCGGCTGACCTGCTAGGTGTGTTGTACACAGGCAGCCGGAGCTCTGCTTCCTCCTCCGGCACTTGGAGTTTCTTGGGGTGGAAGGGTGGAAGGCTAGGGGCTTTCTCAAGGCTCTATGTCCCCTTTTCTGTCCTGCGCAGAATGACCATGTGTAGCGGAGCGAGACTGGCCCTGCTAGTCTATGGCATAATAATGCACAGCAGCGTCTACTGCTCACCTGCCGCCGCCGGACTCCGGTTCCCTGGGATCAGGTAGGTTCGGGCGCCTGGGCTGAGCTGAGGGTTCCCTTCGCTGCATATCTCCTCACGTCGCCCTCCTGCCGTTCCCGCGGTACAGGATACTAAGCGCCACTCTCTCTACGCTTCCAGTGCGCCTCTTCCAGTCTTGGCTGGCCCGGGCCAGGTAGCTAAACCGGGACAGAGTAGGCTCACCAAGTCGGGGGTGCCACTCCCCGAGTTCCAAGCAGCTGGGACCGGGTCGATAGAGTGAGCCTCTACCCGCCAGCGGTACCTCCCCTCCCCCAGCCCGGCCCCAGGCGGAGCCCCCAGCAGGGCAGCTTTTATGGATTCTTGGGACGAGACGAGTTCGGAGAACTTCAGCTCCCAAAGACAGGCTGGGGGTTGAGCGTGTAGCTCGCGCGGACTTTGCTTTGTTACAGCTTATTCTGGGCTATTGGGGCGGGGTCTCTCTCTCCGCCCTTCCTCTTCACCTCATTCGCATTCCGTCCTCAGAAGAGCTTCATTCACGCTTTTCTAAGCCCCGGACCGTCTTGGGGAGGGGGCGTACAGGCTGGCTACGGTTAAGGGAAAGCGACTTCAGAAGGAAGCACAAGGACGGGACTGCAAGGGAGGTGGGAAGACGGGTGCAAAGGAAGGGGGGGGGGGACAGGCGGGCCGGCGGGACCAGAGGACAGCTGCGCCCATCCCAGGATGGAGGAACCTTGGCTTTTCTTTAGCCTCTGGTTTCTAAGCGGTCGGCGCGGCTGGGTTTCCCGCTGCATTCCCAGAGCCCCCGCCAGTGTGCGGGACAGTGGAGGCGCTCGGGGGCAGCTTGGAGCGCGTGCTACGCCAGGCACCCAGCTCCTCCGTGCCGCGCCCAGGAACGATCGCCTCGGGGGACCATCGCGAATGGTTCTAGCTTCTATTAGGGTTCCAGGATCTGGGCGCAGGGTAGGACAAAAAGTGGCCGGGACTGTCTGGGTTGGGGCACCAGGGCTGGGCCGAGGCGCGCAGTCGAGGAAGGGTTGAGTGTGGGGCGGGCAGAGGGACGCACTGGCCTTGCTCCAGCCTCTCCAGGGAGGCAGGAAAGGCTAGCGGAGCGTGTAGCACAACTCCAAGCCCACAAAGAGCACGCCGTTTGTCCTGGCCGCATTCTGAGTCTCTCCGATGCACTTCTTTCCGTCCTATACTAGGATGCGGGCGGTAGGCGCAGGCTACTGTTAGGGCGCCGGGCAGTCGCTTTTGGTCCCCTTTCCTATTTTGCGTTTCGGGGTTGAGGTGGGGTCCTTCCACCTCACCAGCGATAACACACTGGCTTGATCTATCTATTTAGGGGGCTTAATAGCCCTCCTATTTCTTCCTCAATGTTCTAAGTTCCGCGTGCCTGGCACTTTCCCCAGGCGAGAGGCACTGGAGCGCGCGGACACACCACAGAAATGAGCCGCCGCCAAACCCGCTAAGTTTAGGAGCATCTATTATTCATGTTCCTGCCAGATCCTTTCCCGCCCAAAATAGAAGCTGGAGGTTCTCCGTGACCTACATCTGCGGGAAAGGGCTCCCCTGGGCCCCGAGGCTCGGGGCCGGTGGTTGCCGAGGTGGCCGCCACACCCCTCACTCATCCATCCTCCCCTGCAGGGCCAGGCCTCCCCCTTTGAGTCTTGGCGCTGGTCTGCGTCTCCTCCTGGAATCTTTCTCGTGCTGGCCCGCCCGCTGCCACTTGGGGGAGGCTTGCACCCCACGCTAAGGTGGGGGTGGGGTTCCCTTTCCAGGCCGGGTGTGCTTGGTCTGCAGGGATCACTGGGTTTCTCAGGACATGCGGAGGCCGCGATCCTGCAGGGCAAGCCCTCTACCCCTTGGAGGGGTGGGCAACCGCCTCGAGGAGTGCATATCTCTGCCCCCACCCAACCTGGAATAAAAGTCGGTTTTCGTGGGGGACCTTCGTGGAGAAAGTGCGCCTGTGAGGGGCCCTTTCTTTGGGTCGTCGCAGAGGTGGGGAGGACTTGGAGTGACCACTCCTTTGGCTATCCCGCAGGCCCGAGGACGAGGCGTACGACGAGGACGGAGACCCGCTGCAGGACTTGTACGACTGGGCCCCGCCGGGCGCAGGGAGCCCCGCCTCTGCGCTGCAGGACGCCTACGCCCTCTACTTTCCGCCCGAGCGCAGGTACCAAGTCCGGGGTCGCGGGGCTGCGGGGCTGCGGGGCTGGGGGCGGGAGGGCAGGGCGGCCCGTCTGCGTGAAAGTCCTCAAGCTTCTCTTTTTTTGGCCCGATGCCGAGAGCTACAGAAAATTAGTGGCGGGCGGATGAGCGGGGACCTGATGGCTGCGTGGGGACGAAAGGTTGGCGGCCGAGGAGGGTCAGTGAACGCGCGCCTGGCCAGGGCCGGAGCGCGGGGGCTAGGTCTGCCTCTGGATCCAGCCGTGTTCTCCAGAACCTCTGGTCCCCTCATCCTCCGGGAGCGCGGCCAGCGGGGTCCTGGGGCTGCGGCCTGGCGGGGGCGAGGCGGTGACCCTGGGTGCCATACATTTTGCCTGCCCATTAGAGATGTCGCCCACGGGGTCCTGCACAAAGCCTACCGCAGAGTGTTGGATCAGCTGTCGGCCAGGAAGTACCTGCAGTCCCTCGTGGCCAAGGGTGTGGGGTAAGAGTTTGCGAGGCGTGACGGCACGTGACGGCGTGCGGGGCGGGCGCTCTGCGTCCTGCGTGCACGTGGCCGAGGGTGTGGCCGCGCGGGCGGGCGGGGGGTGGGCTGCGGCCGCAGGCCTGAGCTGGAAGAGGCCTTTCAAATCTCGAGGAAGCTCGGAGAGCTGATGCGGGATGGGGGAAAAAAGCGGAGGAGACTGCAGATTTTGGTCTTATTTCAATTAAAAGACTATCCCCCCCTTCACAACCTACAAGATCGCGGGGGGATTTGCTACCATTTCCTCTAAGCCTGTCTTTTATTGGTTGGGATGGGCGTTGCATTTACTATAAATTTGAATCGAAGTAAACAAAACACTCAATTTGGACACTTAAGGAAACAAACAGTCTTTTTGCTCACGCTAGGACAAACCCAGAGTTCGGGGCTTGTGTGAAACCTGGCTCAGCAGAAGGCAGCGTTTTAATGAAGCCCACGGGGGAAACAGATTACATTTCGCAATGAATAATTCATGCGGTGAAAAATATTGCCATAGCCTGTCGACTTATATTATTATCACATTTTCCAACTTAGCATGCGGAGGGAGTGCTGGTGTCGGGCCAGGAACTGCGGGATCGATTTAAACGCCGCTGCCGCAGTCTTTGCAGCCAGCGTGGCCTTTAGGACCCGTGGGTTATTCTTTGTAGGTCGGGGGCGAGAGGAGCAGTTAGGGCAGTTTATTACAAAAGCACGGATGGTCAGATCTTAGAGACAGCCTTCGGAGAAAGGCTCACAGCGCGTGTCTGCTTCTCAGATCTCGCCCAGGGCCGTAGTGCCAGGAAATCCCGGGCGGCAGAGAGCATAGAGGGCTTTCATCTCAGCCCTGCCCCTGGCACGGGAAGGCAGCAGCGCGGGGTGGGTGGGGCGCGCCTGCGCCCGGAGACCCCGCAGGTGTCTCCCTCTGGCTCACCCTGGTTGTCTCCCCCTCCCCCCTTTCCTTGCAGTGGGGACCTGGGCGGCGGCGCGGAGAAGGATGACTCGGAGCCGCTCTCCAAGCGCCACTCGGACGGAATCTTCACGGACAGCTACAGCCGCTACCGGAAACAAATGGCTGTCAAGAAATACTTGGCGGCAGTCCTGGGGAAAAGGTATAAACAAAGGGTTAAAAACAAAGGACGCCGAATAGCATTTTTGTAGCGACGAGTTACCAGCTACCCCGTGTATAGAACCCTGACACAATGAAAAGTCGTTTTCCAAACTGACTGAACAGTCATCGCTCGTGTGTTCTATCCAAACATGTATTTATGTATGAAGTAAAGCCATTAAATGAATATTTTGATAATAATATTGTTTTTCTTTTTACAAAGCACTAGAGAATGCACAGATATACTTTGTGGACCAATTATTGATATTATCTTATAAACATATATTAAGAATATATATATAAGTATAATAGAGAGCAATTCATACAAAGCGTGCACAAGGATCGAAAATTCGCCTGAGCTGTTTATGTTTTTATATAAAATAAATAGAAAAATAGACAATCATTGTTTTGAATATTAGTCCTATTTTTGTAAACTGGAATTAAAGGGATAGTATTTTTATCCACAACAGGGCTGAAGATGTTCATACTGACCATTTGCTACTGTACATAAACAATGACGCCCTGCTCTGGGGAGATTCTAGGTAGTGCTTTGAAGACTCGCTGAGGGGCATTCTCTCCCAGCGAGTCTCAGGCAGGCTGCTTCAGTCCAGCCTAACGCACTGGAGTGGGCTCGACCCACAGGCTGGGGGGCAATCCCGACTTTCGCTTTCTTTGATTCTACTTTTCATGTGTAGTTGTCTCTCTTCAGACTCTCAGCCCAGAAGGAAATTCTAATAACACAACAGCTCGATTCAAATTGCACTTCTCCCCAGATTTCTCGCCACTCCCTGGGGGAGGAGTTGAGGAACTGTACAGAGGAGCAGCCTCGGATGGGCAGCTCTCTTTTCTGTACTTCCGGATTCTCCAGGGACCGTACTATCCCAAGGTTAGGGCAATTGGCACAAAATGAAGGAAGTGGGGTTTTAGAGAAAGAGGCAGAGGAGGAGGACCCCGGAGAGGGACTATCTGAGCAGCCCCTCCCCACAGCCCTGGAGTCTGAGCCAGTGCAGGTCCGCTGCCTGTCTGATTTGGGGCGTTGGGTATTGGAAATGGATGCAAAGTACGATGTGTTTTTCTCAGTGCTGTCCACGCTTCTCATCGTGTGAAGTGGCCAGAATCCCCCCTTTGAGCCCTGCTTTGTAAAAAGCCACCAGTTTTCCTTTGTGTTTTTTCTGGAGATCCCTCCTTCCTATCTTCCTGCGCTGTTTAAGTACTGTTTACCATTTCTTTTTCGTTTGCTTCTCTTAAACTTGTGAATGTTTCTTACTTTTGGTTGTTTGATGCAAGCAGTTACTGTAAAGCGTAGGAACTTCTGTGTAGCTACCGCTAAGTAATAATGCACTAAATATGAGCCTTTTGTTTCTTGTTTATTGAGTTTGTAGGTAAAATGTATTTTTCTACATTCTGGCTTATTGCTTAGTAAAATTTATTTCATAAAACCAATCTTTGTCATAATAGAATGTGTAGTGTTCACATGTTGCTCAGTGTTACTGATAAATCACTTAAACCTCATCTTCATATATATGAGTACTATCTTATATCTGTGATCAAGAGCAAGGTAAGCAAGCTCTCCCAACCCACCCTTGTATCTGGCTAAAGAAAGCATGTCTGTTTCCTGTCAATTTCTTGAACATATAGAATAATCTCTATAAACAAAGAACCTTCACCCAGCAACCAGATCAAGCAGCAGCAGACAAACCAGCCAATTCCCCAAATCTCAGAACACAATTTTTGCAGAAAAAAAAAAAAAGAAAAAATTAAGCATCTGACGTGTAAAAGGACCTTTCTTTTTTTCTTTCTGGATTTGATCAGTATGAAGTCTCCCATGAAAGAAAACAGAATTGTATTTGCATTCCCAGGCGGGATGGATGCTGCCAGAGACCACATTGCAAACGGTGAAATAAAGAGGCGTTTGCTCTCTGCCTGAGTCCTGTGAGCAGGATCCATCTTTCTTGAATTCTGCGGTCTCCTCAGGCAATGTGACACGGAATGCAGTTTGCAGCTTAGTGCCTTTCTTCGCCTTTTAAATCGCCACGAATCACAGATGGCTATTTAGCGGCCCTACGATGCTGCAACACATCGGCTTGCATTTTAGTCTTACTTATTTGTTTCTTGGATAATGGGCAGAGTTTTCTGTGTTTGTGTCAGCTGTTAGTGGTGAAATAGGGCTCTAGTTAACCTTTTATTTATGAAGTCTCATTTAAGATTCCCGTGGCTAGTTGCAAGCATTCTACAGTGATCACCCAGTTTAATCTTTTGTATACTTTTTAGAAATGCCAAGAGCCTTACTAAACTGGAGCAGAGTTATGCTATAGCGATAATTTAGGTAGATGTTAGTCTTGGAGCTCTTATTTTGTGTGCAACTGATTATAAAAAACATCTTAACCAAGTATTATCACACACATGATATCTATAACTAGGACTTTGATAACTGTTATATAAAGTGTGTAAAATTTGTATGAATAAATTTTTGTAAACAATGCAACTTGGTCTAATGTTTCGAGAAAAAAAAACATATCCAGGAAATAACTATAAAAATCTGAAAGTATTATATTTCTTCAGCAATCCTAAAATATTTCATGTCTGAAATACGTATCTAAGCATCCACGCATTTTCATAAGCTGTGCTCTAATAACTGCTTGATGGGTTACTGGATTCAATTAAAAATTTTAAGTGGCTTCTCATATGGAGATGCCTAAGAGGTGCAAAGGCACGGATGTCAGAGCATTTATAAGACGCACTATTTCGATTACTTTCCACCTCCCTAGTGTGTGTGTGTGTGTGTGTGTGTGTATGTGTGTATGTATGTATATATTTGTTGCTCAGCATGCAGAAAGTTATTAGGCAGTGGTGACGGACTATATTGGAGAATTAGTTATGCTTCTAAAATAGCTATCTAACAGTATTCTTGCGCAAGTAACTGTATACTAAATGAGTCTTGGTAAAATTTTGTATAAAATGATTTAAACAATCCATCTTGGAGCTTTTAAATGTGTTTAGGGATAAATAAAGGTATCTCTGACTAAAATGTTTTGGATAGAAGGAGCAAGAGCAACATTGATTTAACTAGATACATTAAAAGAAAATGTACTTTGATTCTTAGGGCAAAATAGGAAAATCATTTGCATATTATGTTTTATTAGTTCATATTAACAAAGCTTTAAAGCAAAACCTTCATATAAAATTCCCATAGATTTCCCAGTGGTATATTTTTGGAGCCCTTGATTGTCTATCTCTGGGCTAAAAAAATGTTTTGAAAATCACTTAACGTTAGATTTATTTATTTCGGGGCTGGGGAGATGGCTCAGTGGAATAAATGCTTGCCTGGCAAGCTCAGGGACCTGAGTTCAATCCCCTGTTCCACCAAACCCCCCCCCCAAAAAAAAAAAAAACAAAAACAAAAACAAATTTATTTCTTTGGTGGTACCAGGGATCAAATTCAGTACCTTGTGCTTGCCAGGCAAGTACTTATTCCACTGAGCTATCTCCCCACCCTCCTACCATTAAATTTAAAGTGCCAGTTTGCATCCTAAAAATGAATGTATTGTTACTAAATATGTGTCACAACAGTATTAAAGGGTCATCAAGGACTCAAAAAGTGTTTTTAGATTTTGATTCAATATCTGAAACCCAGAATCATATAGTGAGAAGCCTCCAACCTAGAAATCTCTTTGAAGTTAAGAAAATGAATATAATATAGTCCATGCATACACTTTAAAAAAATGTATTTGGTACAGGGTCTTACTCCACAGCTCGGACTCTAGTGGTCCTCCTGTTTTCAGCCTCCCCAGTGCTGGGATTACAGGTGTCCATCACCAAGCCTGGTCTCCGTGGCCGGCTCAGTGCTCCTGGGGGGCAGGGCTGGCGTGGCATGTGGTGCTGGGGATTGAACCCCGGTCTCTGTGCTTGCCTAAGCAGGGCTTTAGTCTGCTGAGCTATCTTGCCCGCCTCATACACTGGGTTTTATTGAAGTTGTTTTTCATTTTTAATCTGTCACCAGTGGAGTCCTAATGTAGTAAATAGAAAAATGAAGAATGAAGAATGAATTTGTTTAGTTGAAGACTAGTACTTGTCAAGAAAATAAAGATAAGCCTGAGAGTTGGCTGACATCAGGTGAAGTATATATATATATATATATATATATATATATATTCATACATAAACTTGCTATATTTTCTTATGTGGGATAACACAAATCCGGGCTTTTCATAGGAAGACTTCATATAGTTGGGAACATGTGCTTTACTGATACTAGGGCTGGGAAGATACTGATCTAGTAGCCACATTTATCAAGCCCTTGAAATGAGAGACATGTGGGTTGAAAGAGCTCTATGTGGCCCTGGAGTGAAGGTAGTATGTTTTTCCAGCAAGTGCATTTTTGGAGGAATTTGGTGGTGATGCAGGTTGTAGACTCCGTCAGAACCATGAATCTACATTTTCATAAAAGCTCTCCATTAATGTGCATTAGAGATTGAGAGCACTTGGATTTAGAATTTGGAAATACATAGGTACATGGGGCTGGATATTTTTTCATATTAAACAACAGGTGGTTGTACTCTTCGCACACAGTAATAAATACATCAATAAGTCATAGTCTCCCCAAATAGACATTAGGCTCTTGGAAAATCATGATATTTTTTAAAAAGTCACTAAGACCATTATTAGTATTATTTTGCTTGTACATTCTGGCTAGCCCTGTCTGTTAAAGATACTTCCGAGAGGAGTGCGATCTTCTGAGTACAAAAAATTCAGTCACATGGCCAAGCCATCAGTGCTTTGATAGAACCAGTGCAACTAGCTGACATTAAGTCTGGGGGTCCAAAAATCAGCTTCCAATTGCATCATATCCCAATCTGGTTTTAATGGGTGCTCCCCAAACTCAAAGTGTTCATTCTCCAGGTGATTTCACTTGAACACTCCAGCGGCCTCAAACTTTGTCTTGTTGTTCACATCATTACAAGATTAGAAACCAAAGCCAAGTTGATCTGCTTCTCTTTTCTTGTTCTTTTTGAAGGAAGGAGATGCTTGCTCCCCTGTGGCTGCCCCTGGCCTCGAGGTTGGGTTGGAGTTGGTCATCCTGGGCTTGATCATTCTCTCTTTAACCTGTTGGTTTTATCTCCTCCTTAGTCTCCTGTCT